AGAACGTCGAGGTAGTGGCGATCCATTAAATTGGAGCTAGGTTCTGGACCGAAAGGTGCTGTCCAATGCTTAAAAGCGTCCAATTCGGTGACGCGCGCGCGGACGGACCACACGCCCCGTGCGGGACTCGTTCGTCGTCTCGGGCTGCCTCCAGCGAGTCGGCGCGGCGGACTGCGGTCGCCGCGCGGCGCCCGGGCGGTCGAGCCGTCCTCACGGGACCCGAGCGCGGGCACAATTTGACCGGCGGCGAGCACGATCTTGCGCTGGAACACCGACAGCCTCTCAGGCGCCGATTTCAGCGAGATGCTGCCGACCGCCGATTTCGTCGCTGGAGCGGCCTGATCTCGACACGAACGTCGACTTAGTGGCGATGCCTTAAAACCGAGCTAGATTATGATGCTATTAACAAGTCCTGAACGGGGCTGCCCCATCGTCGACCGGCTTTGAGGCGCGCGCACGCCGCCTTCAACATGTTGTTAACTAGCAATCCACCCCGTATACGGATAATGCTATTTTTATGTTATTTTATTAGCATCGCCCCTAATCGCCATAGCCCCCTATATTCCCAGCCCCCAGTAGCCCCGAGTCCGAGTAGCCCCAACATAGGTTCAACATCAGCCTAAATCGGCACGGTGAAGCACACATCAACATCGACCCAAAAAAAACACAATGACGCTAAGTATCTTATTTAGATGAAGTCAAGGTGAAGGCAAGTTGAAGGTGATATCATATGGTATCCGCCCCGTATCCCCCGCCGATTTACCCCCGCACGGGGGTTAAACAAGGCGGGGGATGCGGGGCGCATGAGGAGAACAAATCTATGCATGATCCGACACTAACGATGGTTGAACGATATCTGACGCTGCGTTTGGCATGTTCCGGGCCACGGGAGGAGAAATTGAGAGCACTTCGCGGTAGGACGTCGGGGTCGGCGGTCCTAAAAATTACTCCATGTCGTGCGAGGCGAAGCAGGGGCCGAAGACGCTCGTACGGGCGCTCCCGCGGCGCTGAGGGGACGGAGATGAGGGATCTTAGTTTCTGCGGATTCCCCCAGGGCATGGACTGAAGTTTCGGGACGTCCGACCCCGAGTTCCTACTGCGAAGTACTCTCATAATCTCCCCTCGAGACTCGCAACATACCAAACTCAGAGTCAAAAATCGTTCGAACATCGTACTGCAAGCGTTTGTGGTCCACAACTCGCTTAGGATACCTAGGATATGCGTCTCATTTTTGAAAGAGACCCAGGACGTCCGCTGAGCTCAGCGGAACCGAACGCACATATATACACCCCCACCAGGAATTAATCTCAGAGACTCAGGGGTCGACCGTGAACGGACCCCAATTGGCGTAAAAGCAGTTTCCGCCCTCTTGTCGACCTGCGGCGCGCTCGGGACAGGCGCGCCAGACCTCCCGCCCGTACAGACAACGCTAGCGTGCATATCGAACACAGGCCCCGCCCTGTGCTGGCGACACCCTCTAGTGGAGCTGCAGCGATTGAAGCGGCTTGAGTGCAAGTACGAGAATTGAGGCCCACTTATTTGTCGAGGCGGTCGCCAGGATCAAGGCGGTCGCCAGGATCATCGGTGCAAGTAGATCGGTGCAGAGGAGGCCGGTAAGACAATGGAAACATGGTGCACTGCAACGTTGTCAATGATTGTCCCCCTCCAGAAGGGATCGAGCAAACTGAGGGAAAGAAGCTAGACCACGCCCAGCTCCAAGCAACTCAG